ACATGTTTGATGTGAGACAAGAGTAGCCCATGGAGGGCAGTGACTCAGTGCAAGAGCACAGGAATTGGAAAATAATCTGGCTTCAGGTCCCAGGGTGTCATGAATTTACTCTATGGTGTTGGGACACCATTTTCCTAAGCCTCAGTCAAAAGAAGGGGCCGGAATGCCTGCTTTCCTCATCTCCTCATCTTGTTGTTCAGGGGGTCATCAGAGTCTTTGAAAATACTTAAGAGTATTCTCAGTGGGAGGGAGGGTATGTGGCTTGGGTAATGACTGTTTTGGGAACACAATATATGATTGCACCTATTTTGCATAGACCTTTCCTCATTGAGCCCTTTCTTTCTGTGAGTCCTCAGGAACCAGGGTGCTAGTATTAGTGCTGCCTAGAGCAGAGTCCTCATCACCCACATGCTTACAAATGAAAATGTTCTTGAGCAGAGGAGACGGCTACAAGAGCCCATTACTGTATGCATCATTCTGGGAGGATATCCAAGAAACTATGCCAGTATTCTCTAGCACCCCAATTGCAGTGTCCACTGCTTGTGACCTTTTATGAACTACGTTTTCCCCATGCAGTGCTCCATGTGACATCATCAGCACCCTCTTCAGTGTGCATAGTGAGCAGTGTTTATCTTAGTGGACGAGACACCTGAGCATTACAGAGGTTCCAGTGTTTCTTTTTGCTGTTCATTCCTACCACTCTGATGTCATTGGTTCTGGAAGGGACCGGGAAGCACTTTGAAGAAACAAATCAAGCTTTCTCTTGTGACCTTCCTGTGTTGATTTAAAGAGCAGTCAGGGAGAGAGATTATAGATCTCTTACATGTGACCTTAGAGGGCAGTATGAAGACAAGCCATGACAGTCTTGGCAAGATGATTTCCCCTGGATTTAAGAATGTCCTCTACTCTTTCAAATAACGAACCTGGTTAGGGTTTCCATGGCAAAGGTTACTGAGGCCTGAGCTCTCGTCAATTGCTCTTTTTCTCTCTCCAGGCTGGAAGGCGGTTGCAGCTATGATTATATAGAGATTTTTGATGGCCCCCACCACAGTTCACCTCTCATTGCCCGGGTTTGTGATGGGGCTGTGGGCTCTTTCACTTCAAGATCCAACTTCATGTCAATTCGCTTCATCACTGATCACAGTATTACTCGAAGAGGGTTCCAGGCTGATTACTACTCAGTCTTTGACAATACCACCACCAGTAAGTTCCCTTGTTAGAACAAAGGCTTGTTAGGCCTGGGGGCATCACTGAGAGCCTTTGCTCCTCTATCGTCCTGGGATTGTAACATAAAATATTAGAACAACCGTGGCCCCTGTGATTGAGTTCATGCATCGCCAATTGAGAGAGACTGTGCGGTGAGTCTTAGGACTCTGGATGTCCAAAAGAAGGCCAAGGGCCAGCATTGGCTGGTGAGAGTTGTACCTACCTTATTGCAGTTGGCAAAAAATATGAAGGTATAAGATGAGGCTCTCAACAGATATCAAGAAGACAGTGCCAGAAGGAATTGTGGGTGACACCAGGCTTGAAACTTTGGGACTCTCCCAGAGTCTGAGTCACTGGCCATGTCCTGAGACCTACTACATTAGACTTCTGTCTGAAGATGGATAAACTTGGACACCTTAATATGGGCAGCTACTGTAACAGTTTGAGCTATGGCCCCAGTTTGAGATGCTATATGAACTATATCTACATTAGTAAACGGTTGAGCATGGTGATATCCATGGTCTCTAACTGGTCAGAATCAGAGGTATCAACTTTCTCCTTAGCTAAAGTACATTGCTAATGACATCACAACTATCTTACTGTACAGTTGCTTTACTTCACGGGAGAATGCTAACTTGGCAAAAAAAATGTTTTGGATATTTAAAAATCCTATCTCCAGGTCCATACCAGAAAATCCTATACATCTAAGTGTCTTATTGGGCATTCCTGAGGATAAGGATGAGTGTAGCCATAGGAACCCTTGACTCTAGTGACATAGTGACTCTGTTTTGAGCATGTATGTCATGTGTGGACCATGTGAATCAGCCATCTTGATCTGTGTTTCTTTAGCTGGGGAAAGACCCTCATGAGGATTGTGGGGTTTGGAATCTTGATTCTGCATGCTCTGCTCTTGTCCTTCAGATCTCCTTTGTCTGTCAAATCACATGCAAGCCAGTGTGAGCAGGAGCTATCTCCAGTCCATGGGCTATTCTGCATGGGATCTTGTCATTCCTGGTTGGAATGTGAGTTACCAGTGCCAGCCCCAGATAACACAGAGGGAGGTCATATTCACAATTCCCTACACAGGCTGTGGCACTACCAAACAGGTAAGCCTGGCACTGCCCACTCTATTTCCCATTGAACATCCTTTCTTTAGTCAAAAATTTGTGTGTGTGTGTGTGTGTGTGTGTGTGTGTGTGTATGTGTTATGGGAGTTGTGATGTCATTCTTCTAGCATATGGGTCATGGAAATAGAACTCAGATTGTTAGGCTTGGCAGCAAGTTCCTTTACTCACTGAGCCATCTTACCAGCCCCGAGCATGATTTATCACAGTGATGGCTGCCATGCTTCTAGAACCCTGGGGACCTACAAGTTATGGTTGGGAATGTAATCAGAACATCAGAAGGGAGACAGAAGCCTCTGGTACAGTAGCTGTAGCTATTGCTAAATAGGAGAAATGCAGAGGAAGAAAAAGGGGAAGCCTAGAAGTTTCCACAGCTGTGTCCAGCAGAGGGAGCACTCAATAGGAATCCACCCACACAGCTCCCAGGAAAAGCTTGAGAATTTTCAGAGTCTGGGATTTTTATGGTTTCATTGGGATGTGCCAAAGAAACAGAGACCCCTAAACCAAAGATACAAATACACTTTGCATACCTGAGATTGACAACAGCCAACATCTGTCAAAAGTGTTGCTATGCCTTTGAGGAAGCCAGTGCCCCGCTGAGACTCACACTCACACAGTTGCCATTTCTTGAGTGGCCAATGCTTTGACATCATACTATGACATTGCCATCTACAAAATTCACATTGGAGTACTGCATATTGACTTACAAAAGCATGTACCCTGCTTGGCATTTTGAGTAGTGTGGCCCATAGGCCATCATGGTTTAGGCATGACTAGTAGAGTGGTCACCCATCTTGGTTTGCTTGGCAATTTTAACATAGACTGCCCTGTTGTCATCCTGTCAGTGAAAGACGCTGTGATGAGTCCATGTTGTACTCCCAAAATGTTATTTTATTATTTTTATTTGAGGCAAAGTTTCTCCATGCAGTTCTTAATGGCTATGTAGACCAGACTGGTTTTGAACTCACAAAGATCTGCCTACCTCTGCCTCTTGAATCCAGGGATTAAAGACTTACACTACCATGCCTGGATTTGTTTAAATTCTTAACAAGTATTCTTGTATTGTCATTCCCACTTTAAAAGTGAGGAGATTGAATGAAGAGAGGTCAGGCCCATTGACCAAAGCCACATAGACCAATAGGATAGGACCGACACCACAAGGCAAGAATCTCAGAAACATTCTGCTAAGAGAAAGGAGCCAGACACAGAAGAGTTAGACAAAAATTTTATGTTTATCACTATTAGATAAAAATGACCCATTCATATTAAATTTAGCAAAAGGGAATGACTGTGCAATAGGAAAAAGGTCTTCATGGATGGCCTGCTTCTAGGTTGGAGGGTGTGACTTTTAAGGCAGGATGGAGATGTTTGGGCAATGGAAAAGTGGTGTGTCTTACTTGAGTGGTATGTACAGGGCAGACAAGTTCAGATGCCTGTAATGCTCCAGACACATGATAAGCATTTGCCTCATGCTGGGCACTGTGTGAAAGACTAAGGCGAATTCCTTCCCATTCCTCTGACACACAGTACACACTGAGAGAAGAAGTGGGTACTCAGCCAACCAGGTGGGCCTTGGACTCCCACTTGTGGCTGTGTGTGAGGATCTGGTCACCCAGATCTCTTGGTGAGACTCTAAACACCCAGGAGTTCCTTCAGAGAAGAATTTAGTGGGTGAGATGAGCTACTCACAGAGGAGAATGTGTATCAGCCAGCCTCCGTGTGAAGGGTTAAGGAGAATTCCTTCCTATTCCTCTGACACACAGCTGGTTTTGTTATTTTGCTCTGTAAGTTAACCATGTCATCTCCAGCCTTTTGTGAGCCAGTCTGCTGAAGGTGATTACTTCTTCTTTTTCCAAGTGTGCAGCCCAGAGAATCAAACATCTCAGCAGCTTGCTGGTGGCACTTCATAGAACATTGAGGGCATCTAACCAGTGTGCCAGCCCTGCCTTTTCTAACTGGGATGAACCTTGGTAGCTCTCACTGCACTCTTGTTTCCACACATATGAAACTGCCACATCCCCTACCAAACTGAGTGCTTAGAGGCATGGCTAATTTTATTTGTCTTTCCCATCCTTGGTGCCCTGGTACAGAGCCCAAGACTTTATGACTTTTAAAAGCCCCAGGAAGCCCATATCCTCACTTAATCACAGGAAATAAAAACTTAGAGAATCTGAGTCATTTGTCCAAGGACACATTCTCAGGAACTGTGGGGTTAGTGTGCTCTGTAGCAGGAGTTGTTCATGGCTCTTCCAGGCTGCCACACACTGGGCTGGGGGGGTGATATATTGGCTGGTATCACAGAATAGATGAGTTTTCTCACAGTGAAAAACATGCCAGGACATTGAGAACCCATGTCTCTCAGTAGACTCACGTATGGGACTTTGTCATATTGGTTGTGTTTCTTCCTCGGTAGATGCCTAAGCAAGAATTTTATCTAGAGTCATAATGGCTCCTTCCAATCAAGAAATAAATTTGCACTCTGTGCTTGTTGTTTAGATAAGATTCAGAGTTGAGCTCTGTCACAGAGAGATATATATGGACTTCATGAATATACACATGTTAAATATAATTTGAAAGACCTATGTGGTTTGTAAAATCATTGGTACTGAAATACGAATGTTTAAAAACTTTGAAGAATTTATGGGAGAAATACAGTGTGCTTCCTCTGAAAACGTAGAAGTCAAGAGTTCTGTCTGCTGGTTCTTTTTCAGATCTGGGTCTGGAGTGTAGGCTCTGATGCCCTCTGTCGATCAGGCTGGCCACGCCCTAGGCTCTGGTCAGTCTGTGGAGGGAAAGATCAGACTAGAGAAGATGAGGAAAAGGTTATCGAGGTTACCCCAAAAGCTCTTGTTTTATGTTTAGTTTTTTGGAAGGCACACATGCACAGTAGAGTTCTCAACAATACACAAGAAGTTGAAGGCTCTTTATCCTGAAAAAAAATTATATGTAAGTTGTATGAGAGCTGGCAACACAGGGGGCCTTGTCCAGGTCCCAACCAATTAGAACAGAGTTTCACCATTCATGGTTGACATGACTATAGTGGGACGCTTACTTTCTTCATCTGTCTCTGTGTCCTCCCCACCCTCTGTTTGTCTGTCTGTCTGTGCTCTATCCTGCCCTGCCATGTCTTTTTTTCCCCACTATGAAGAGTACAACTGCTTTAAATTGTGGATGGTGTCCATGTCACCCTGCTATTATTCTGCCCTTACACCATACAGGGCTCTAACCATAAGGGACTGGGAAAAGTGAGTCACAGCACTCAGGCTGTGAAGACCCCCACAGCCCCAGCATGGTGATGGTGTGCTTGTGCTTACCTCACTGGAGCTAGACAGTCCTGACATGGTGTGTCCAGGAATCATTGTTCACATGTGTACCTCTTGACCATTGGCTGTTACACTCTCTGTTTATCCTAGTACTTCCAGGACACGCCCTTCATTCATGTCAACTGCTTCACAGATACCAACAGATGCTTCTGATGCTGTTGTTATACCAAGAAAAAAGAAAGAGACATTGTTAGACACCACCCTTTCCTTCAGATGCTCGCAGGCCCCAGGCGTAAGGCTATTGGCAAGGCAGCTCTCAGACGATGGCCAGTAGAGTAAATGGCACAAGACACCAGCCTCATTATGAGTTTGCTGCCCAGTGGAAGTCACAGTGGCGATTGGTTCCATAGTACAATGACATAAGGCAGGAATGGCCTCAGGGTTGCTATGACCTCATTTAATTGTTCTTATGAGGCTCTTGGCGGGGGGGTGAGGGGAGTCTCAATCCCAGGGGTCAAGACCTGCTTCAGTTATAACTGCAAATTCCATGGCTTGCAAATTCCACTGTGCCAATCACTACAGTGAGGAAGTCACCATTCACTCAAAATAAAAAAACATTCTATGCTGGTATTACCAGGCCCCCCTCATAAGTATGAGACCAGGATGCTGAGAAAGAATAAGTTCAGAACATCCTGCTCTGAGTCCGGAGCCATGGAATCTGAGCTTGGTCAGATACACTTCAGGCCAGGGCTGTCCAGACACCCTCATTTTGCCACAAGCAAGAGCAACAAGTGCAGATTATGATGGCCTCCACTGCCATGTGCTAGAGAATGTGGGAGAGTGGGGGAGAGTTTGCTGGTTAAGCTGACGTCCATCGTAGGTAATAGCAGCCACAGCGCAGACAGGTGCCTTCTCTGTGTGATTCCTCAGGAGTCTGGCTGAGTCATCTCCCTCTCCTTCTAACCCACATCCTTGCTGACCTGATCTGCTTTCACCTGTTAGGCTGACAACGAAACCATCAACTACTCTAACTTCCTCAAAGCGGCTGTTACAAATGGCATCATCAAAAGGAGAAAGGACCTCCACATCCATGTCAGCTGCAAGATGCTTCAGAACACCTGGGTCAACACCATGTACATCACCAACAACACAGTCGAGATCCAGGAAGTCCAGTATGGCAATTTTGACGTGAACATTTCCTTTTATACATCCTCCTCTTTCTTGTATCCAGTGACCAGCAGCCCATACTACGTGGATCTGGACCAGAATTTGTACCTTCAGGCTGAAGTCCTCCATTCTGATGCCTCATTGGCTCTGTTTGTGGACACCTGTGTGGCTTCTCCACATCCCAATGACTTCTCGTCTTTGACGTATGACCTCATCCGGAGTGGGTAAGGACTTCTATGTGGGATAGATGTAAACTTTTGCTTTATAACTCACACACGAGTAGCTGAAAAGCTCATGGAATGAGGATTTTTGGCTAACTGAAGTTCCCATGGGTGCAGGCTTAGATAGTTTTCTACCCATGGCTTTGCCTTTGAGAGGTCCTCACACTGTTTCCTGAGTCACATTTCTGATTAAAGGGACAAGTAACTAGGCACCATCTCCTGTTAACACGTGGGACGACTCATCAATGGTCATTCCACTGGTCGGCTATAAACTAGCGTAAGATCTCCAGTCATCAGACTCTAGTCTCAGGGTTAAAAACGTGAGCATGTCATGGGAAAAATCACTGATTTGAGAGTAGACCCAGACTAAAATACCTAAATCTCTGGGTCAGTTTCTGCATCCCAAGTTACCTGGAGATAGTGGCAAGAAGTAGATCTTGGAAAGGTTAAATGAGAAAGAATAATGGGCCCACAGATCACGTCATTCTCACCAGATGGCCTAGAGGGTTACTGTAGCAACGGTATGCTTGGTCCTCACATCCTCCACCTGTTAGGAATGCAAGTTCTCAGTCATGGCTCAGGACATGTTAAGGTTGAATCAATGGAGACCAGGTTGGCTGTGCTGATCTCCTCGGCTTCTACCCTTCCTGGAGGAGGCTCTTTGGGGAGGAGTGATACTCCTGCACTCTTGGAGGAGGCTGACATGTTGAGTATACAATCCCAGTCCCCACTGTGTAATCTTTGTTGGTGGCATGGTACTTCTCGGCTTCTAGTATAGCCCTTGGTACTTCAGTACCCATTGCCTCCCATGGGATTGCTGATAGTAATTATGACAGTAGGCTTAAATCTCACACTAACCTGAGACACCAAAGAAGACAGCCTCACTTCCTAGGAACTATTTGAATATGAATTTCAGTTCAGTAAACAGACTGAGAATCATTTGTCCAATATTTCTAATTGGTCCAATCTGAATCTGCCCCGTTGGAGGCAGCAAACGTAGAAGACTAACCTAGACTTCTCTTGCTCTAAGTAGTAACTGTTTTAAGGTTTTACTGCTGTGAACAGACACCATGACCAAGGCAACTCTTATAATGACAGCATTTAAGTGGGGCTGGCTTATAGGTTCAGAGGTTCAGTCCATTATCATCAAGGTGGGAGCATGGCAGCATCCAGGCATGCATGATGCAGGCAGACCTGAGAGTTCTACATCTTCATCTGAAGGCTGCTAGCAGAATAATGACTTCCAGGCAGTTAGGATGAGGGTCTTAAAGCCCACGGTGACACACATACTCCAACAAGGCCACACCTCCAAATAGTGCCACTCCCTGGGCCGAACATATACAAACCATCATGGTGACCAAGTATTTTCTGAATGGACATGGAATGACTGAGGTAGATGCAAAGAGTAAGCGATTAGATCTTCTCTGCCAAAGGTTCTTTCTTAACTCTGGTGGCATTTGCCATATTTGTGGTCATGCCATTTGTAATGCCAACTGAGCCTACAGCATAGGGACTCACTAGCTACAGCCGGTCCTCAATTGCACCATCCACGGAGAGGCGTCCCTGAGAATAAACTTCCTGGTGGGCCTGTACCACATAGTTCTGGTCTTTGCAGAGTTCCCTCACCCCTACCCTCACCCTCACCTCCACCCCCCTACTCCCATTCCAGATCTTTCAAGTGCCCCAGCTCTGAACAAATCTCCAGCTATCCTTCCACTTGGCATGCTAATAGGGCTGCAGTAAAGAAAAGGAGTCTTGGTATTTCAGGGCAGTTGAGTTGAAGGTAGGAACAGGAAGGAAGCTCTGGGAGGGAGGAGGAGGAAGGCAAGTTGACATGGAACTAATCCTCTTCGAGAATCAGGCTACTCTGGGATAGTCCAACTATGAAGCACTCCTATCCTGAAGCCCCGGGCCCATTCTTCTTGCTTCTCTTTCTACACATCCCTTCAGTTATTATAAGCCTCACATGGTATGCCCTGGAGACAACCTCATCTGCTTCTCAGTGGAATTCCTTAAGTAGATTGGCTGGATGCTTTTCTTCCATTACCAGCAGGTGCCTGAAGGAAGAGGAAGTGTGGATACTGGAGTAGGGTCTTAGAGAAAGCTCCTCATCACGGAGATGTGGCTGCACAGGGGCAGGCCTGGTGAGGGGTTCAGCAGAGAGGCCCTAGGAGACATGGGACAGGGGACACAGAAGAGGTTCAGCCTATATCTGAATGCCACGTTTCGAGGCTGAGTGACAAGGAAAAGGAAGAAGAGGCCATCTTTTTTCCTGTCCTACCTCTGGTCTGCTCTTGGATTCCAAACTTGAGCAGTCTTTTCTACTTCCCTGGTTACTCTGGCCCACTGAACTCACTGTCACGGCAGGTGATTTGCTCTGTCAACATGCTGGCAAGGTACCAGAGCTGCCGGGACTTACGTGCACACCTCACAATGAGTGTGTGGAGGCACTGGAGGCCCAGGCAGCCAGGGTGACTGAGGCGTGCAGGGGGTTTGAGGGGAGTTCATGCTTCTGCAAGCTAACGCGTTCGTTCCTCCCCTTACTCCCAGATGCGTACGAGATGAGACCTACCGATCCTACGCCTCGCCCTCCCCACGCATCTCCCGCTTCAAGTTCAGTTCTTTCCACTTCCTGAACCGCTTCCCCTCAGTATACCTGCAGTGTAAACTGGTGGTATGTCGAGCGTACGATGTCTCCTCACGGTGCTACAGAGGCTGCGTAGTGAGGTCCAAGAGGGATGTAGGCTCCTACCAAGAAAAGGTGGACGTTGTCCTGGGACCCATCCAGTTGCAATCCCCCAGCAAGGAAAAGAGGAGCCTCGGTAGGTGGTTACCCTCAGATCCTACCTTCCACTGGGGTCCATGATTCTGGGAGAAGGGAGGAATTTGGGGTGCTTTTGTCTATATTATGGCCAACTCAAACTGTATACAAGTCGATGAATTAGGTCACATGTAGGTGGTAGGCAAAAGATTTGTGACCTGGAAGGCTTGATTCTCTGGGTTTGGAGCTCCCAGAATCCTCAGCTATAAGGTGAGAGAGTTAATGTCTCTTAGGACTGCCAAGGGCTTGCTAAAGCAATGTATGTTAAACTGCCTTGGCCCCGGTGCAAGTCCTTGGAAGTTTGATGAATGACCTTTAGTTTTTGCTATTAACGTAATTAAAGGTAATATTATGCCTCACCACAATGGTGACAGGTGTTTTGAATGAACCAACTGGGTAGGCTATGAAAATGCAGGCAGCATGGATTGATTTTGACTGTTGGAGGTTGGGGGGTGGTTCTAGGACTAAAGGGGCCATTTTGCCTCCCACCTAGACCAGGTGGTAGGCGTGATTTCTGCTGTGTTGTTTTGTTGTGGGTATTGATTAGGAAATGCTCACAGTAGGACTCCTGGAACCTGTGGCCTAGGCTGGGGCCAGTTCTACCTATCCTCTGGGTAGGAAGATACAATGGTCAGGGTGATAGGGGCAGGAGTGGATTTGTTATATTGTCACACACCCGCCCCTAGGTCAGGGTGGCACCCTCACCCTGTGGGAACCATCTGTGATAGCTCCCTGTCCTCATGCCTCATAGTAGCCCTGCCCCACACCTGGTTCCAGATTCTTCCTCCATTCATTCATTAAATATTTACCAAAGGCCCATCGTGTGGCAGGAAGCACGTAAACAGGTACAGTCAGAGCAGACCTGTGCTCAGTGCCTCTGATGGGGACAGGGCTATGTAGAAAAGGACAGCAGGCAAAGCAAGGACCAGGTGGTGCCTGTTTCCTTTTATACCCAAAGTCACCACAGTAGCTCAGGTCCTGGATTCCTTTGGCCTGGGACTCTTATGACCATTTCCCAACTGGCTTAGATGCCACAACTCTCCCTTCCCACTCATCTATAGACCCAGAATTGTTCTCAGACCCAAAGCCCAGATCTGAGTAACCACTAAAACCCTCCCTAACTGTACCCTGGCTGGCAAGACAACAGGAGTAAGTCTCTCTAGACCAACACTCAGCTGCTACTTGGAATACTGGTACCTCAGTTTCCCCTTCCCATTGTTTTAATCCCTTCCCACTGGAAGGTTCTGACAAAGGCCACTCTGTTCCTTGTCTCCTCGGGATGCCCTTCTCTGGCTGTGTTCTTTTCCCACTCACTCATCTAGCTCTCTGTTCTCCCTCAGACTTGGCAGTGGAGGATGTGGAGAAGCCAGCCAGCTCCCAGGCAGTCTACCCCACTGCAGCCATCTTTGGCGGAGTCTTCCTGGCCATGGTCCTAGCTGTGGCAGCCTTCACACTGGGAAGGAGGACACGCATTGCCCGTGGCCAACCTCCAAGTACTAAGATGTGAAGCAAAACAACCCAGACATTGGCTCCATGTGCACAGATTCCCAGAAAAGATGGAAGACATAAGGGTCTAACACTTGGCACCCAGATACAAGGTGACTAGGCTTCTCAGCACAAATGCATGGCCAAGCATGATGAGATGGCAAAGAAGAAAGGTGGAGGCCAAGTTTTCCCAGGATCTACAGGCTAAAGGCCGTGAAGAATGTCATAGGAGAATGGGACCAGTGTCTATAATCACAGGCAACTGTGAGCCAAACACTGGTGGCAGCCATGCTTTCTCTAGCTAGAATTTCCCTTTACTCCATGTATAGATGACTGTAGTGTTGATGTCAGCCTTTTCTTACCACAGTGCAAACTAAATATAAAGAATCTTTCTCATGGCAAGTGTCTGCTTGGTCATTGTGTGTACAGACTCACCCACATACTGAATTCCCTCAAGTCCGGCAGACACCTTTGGTGACATGGCCACAGAAATGATAAAAGGGCAAGGGACTCTGCTTTGCAGCTTCAGAACCTTCAAGAGAATGACCATCCACATTCCTCCAGGATTCTTCATCTTTCCATCTGGGACACGATGTTCAGGGCTATGGGCTGGGAAGGGCCAGAGGTGGGTACCCTCATGCCTAGGACAGGAGTCCTGTTCTCATGACATCACCAGGGAGAAATGTGACAGATGGTCATAGAAGATAAAGAAACGTAGCCAGGTACCCAGGCTGGCAGTCCCCGACCTCTAGGTACTGTGCTGGCAGTGCCAACACAGACCCCAACAGGTAACTGCTAGGGTGATCTTAACTAAGAGAATGCTGCTAGAGTTAGGGGAGACCCCTTAGGACAAAGGGCCAGAGAAGGTTAGCTGCCAGTTCTGACAAGAGATGACCGAGAACTGCCCATCACCAGCCTTGATGAGACTTCAGCTCCTATGAGATAGCTCATGGGATGGACACACACACACCCTTCCAGCATGCAAAGGAGCAAGGAGGCCAGGGCATATCTTCTGGCCTTCATCACCCATGTTCATGTTCCAGGCTGGGGACATCAAGGAGAGTCCTGATGGGTCACTCTGTGTGGGCTAGTCTGGAGTTTTCAGCAGTACAGTGTAATGTAGACCCAGCGTGTGGCAAGATCTGAGCAGATGTGGACCTGCTTAGAGCTCAGTGGCTCTGTGTTGGGTGACACCCTCAAATGAATGACAGACACTCAGTGGGTAAAAGAACAGGACTCAGCCAATCTGTTTTGAGCTGTGTCTTGCTTGCCTTCCAGTCCCTTCCAAGCAGACACGGCTCCCTATCACCCGCTTGCCATCCCAGTGATGGAGCCAAGAGGGCGCTACATATCAACATTAGTGCTATTTCATTACTCCGCCTTCCTTTCTCCCTCCCTCTCTTCCTCCTTCTTCCCTATATGAATGGTGTGCATAAAGGTACACCCCCACTCTGTTCTTGCTCTCTTGCTCTCTTGTTCTCTTGCTCTCTCACTCTTACTCTCTGAGAGAGACTTTGGGTGTCTTCCTTGACAGCTCTCTACTTTACACAGGTAGGATCTCTCGCTGAACCTGGAGCTCACCAATTCTGCTGCTCTACAGCACCAGCTTGCTCTGCCTTCACCTTCTCAAGTGCTAGTTTTAGAGGCAGTTGCTGTGTCCCCTTGAAGAAGCCTCTTTCTCCCTTTAGCCTTATTGCTATGTCTGCAAATCTCAACGCCCCCCTCCCTCCAACCTCCCAGCCTCATCTCAGACTCCTCAGGTGGACAAACTCCAGGAGGGAATCCCAGGCCAATCTTACTTCCCTCCAAAAGTTTACAGATCTCAAGTTGCCAGACTCCGGTTCATCAGGGGACTACCAGGTTCCAGCACCCCCACCCCCCACTGGTATAATGGTGTGCTTTACTCCTCCTCCTCCTCCTCCACACCCTCAGAGTCACTTGTTCCTTCCTGAAATTCCCCGCTCCCTGTCACCAGGAATCAAGGGTGTGGTCCCTGTTGTGGCCCACTCATCAACCACTTGTCTGGGAGCCTCTCCCTTCCCCTGAGATCTACTAGAAGGGACAGCCACTCTGCATCATGGGCCAGAGCCCTCCTGGCTGGTTTGGTTTTTGGTCAGCTGGACTTAAGTTGCAGTTGTCTTGGAAAAGGGAACCTCAATGGAGAAAATGCCTGTATCAAATGCAAAGCCTTTTCTTTACTGATTGTTGATGTGAGAGGTCTCAGCCTACTGTAGGCGGTGCCACTCCGGGCAGGTGCTCCTGGGCTATATAAGAACACAGGCTGAGCAAGCCATGAGGATCAAGCCAGTAAGTAGTCTTCCTTCATGGTCTCTGCTTTGATTCCTGCCTTAGGGATCCTGCCTCAGTTTACCTAGATGGTAGACTCTAACCTGTGAGCCAAATAAACCCTCTCCTCTGCAAGTTGCTTTTGGTCGTGGTGTTTATCACAGCAGTAGAGAAGCAAACTAAAACACTCCTTTTAGATCCCCTCCCATCTTGTCTGTCTCTTTGTAAGCCCATAAGGTTAATAATTTTCCCAATGAATCTTATTCAAAATGATAGTCCACCTCAGTGTTGCCTGAACCTCAGACCTGAGACATTTCAGTTACTATTCTTGTCCTAATGACATGTGCCGATGGACAAGGGGCTTATTTTGTTCACTCCTTCAGGGGACTCAGTTCATCATGGTGTGAAGACAGAGCAAGAGGAGAGACACACTACATACTGGTGGCTCCCAGACCAGGAAGCAGAGAACAGACCCAGAGGAGGGGCTAGCCATAACCTTCAAGTGTGTGCTAGCTAGTTTTATATCAACTTAACACAAGCGAAAGTCATCTGAGAGGAGGGAGCCTCCATTGAGAACATGTCTCCATAAAGATCAGGCTGTCGGCTAGCCTGTAAGACATTTTCTCAGTTAGTGATTGATGTGGGGGGATCCCACCCATTGTGGGTGGGGATATTCCTGGGCCAGTGGTCCAGGGTTTTATAAGAAAGCAGGGTGAGCATGCCATAAGGAGCAAGCCAGTAAGTAGTACCTCTCCGCGGCCTCAGCATCAGCTCCTGTCCTCAGGTTCCTGCCCTGTTTGAGTTCCTGTCCTGACTTCCTTTGGTAGTGAACAGTGATGGGGAAGCATAAGCCATGTAAACCCTTCCATCCCTAGCCTGCTTTTGGCCATGATGTGTCATCACAGCAATAGTAAACCTAAGTAAGACAAAAGACGAGCATGCCCCAGTGCCCAGTAACCTACTCCCTCCAGCCTGGCCCTATAACAACTGGGGGCCACAAGAGTCTGAGGAGGAACACATCAGACTCAGTTTTTAATAGTTACCACATTGTTTCTATGGGAGGAAATAAGAGCTAGGGATGTCCAAGTTTACCATCTTGCTTGTAATTGTCTCGTACTCTTAAGTGATAAATTCTTCAGCAGAAATACAGATGGGATTTGTGTTAACCTTGAGAACAGTAATAAGAGATCTCTAAATTCTCACACTCACGGATATGCAGGATCACTGGAGATAGAAAGGACAGTGTGGAAGTCAGATTGACTTTTTTTTCCACACCGAGAGAAATAATTCCTAAGGTTGTGACATTTACCTTCAGATAGCTATGAACGAGGTGCTCATTAAGACAGAAATGTAAGCGGCTAATGCTTTTCTGTGCATTAGGAGCCTTTGGATACCATCACGGCTCTTAAGAACAGGACAGCTTTATAACTCTTGAAAGGCAATATCTCTCCTTTTTGAAAGCATTTCAGGTTCAAAGAGGGGAAATTTCCCCTCTAGGCAGGGAAGGGTACCTCACACTCTCCACAGAATATCAAAAATAACTGAAACAACCTTTAATAGGCTGCGAGTTGGATTGTTAGAAGCTACGACGGAAAAAGCTTTCTCAGTAATAGCTGATTTAAAAGCTAAAAGTGGTGTCCCTTGCCAGGAAGAGAACTTACCAAATGATAAGTAATGGGCTTATTTGAAGTGGAGGGAACGTCGAAAGATGCGTGTGGATTTATACACATGTGCTACTTCATGTCGCAATTACCATAGAATACTAAGGGGAAATAGAAGGACAACCAGGACATCAATTAATCTTCATAGGGTTGTGGATATTTTCACTGAGCACCAAGTCTTTAGGGCTTCCAGGTCGATATCACTTGGGTTTCTGAGTTTGTACCCAGGATAAGCAATAATTACTCAGAATAGCATTGTGATTATTTGTCGCAATGGAGAATGGCAGTTTGGGTGCCGTTAAGATATGGTTCATTAATTTGGGCTGTCTTGGTCTTCCATGGTTGGATTTTTGAAAGCCAAGGTGGTAGAGTTCAGAGTCAGGGAAGACATTAGGAATGGTTCTGTGTGACTCTTCAGGATAGGCATTCTTGAAGTAGAATATTTTCAATATTTCCCCCTGATCTTGTTACTTTTTTGGATGAGATTTTTGGCAGCTGTGAGTGCTTTGGAGATTTTAGTAAAGCACAACTGAAGTGAGCACTAATCTTCCCTCCCCCGCTCATATCTGTCTGTCTGTCTGTCTGTCTATTGTCTGTCTATCTATTTGTAGACTGAATATATTTTATCAGAGACACCTGGAAGGTGCTTTGTAACCATTTGTCCAAGCTATTAGCATCTCCCAGAGAGAACAAGCTGAGACAGTCTTCTCAACCTGGGAGTGCCAGCCATAGCAGGCCGTGTTCGTCTGACTCTCTAAGAGGTAGGCACTTTAGGTATTTATGACTCCTTGCAGTGGCAGGTCTTAGAAAGCCAGTCTCCGATGGGTTTAAAGAAGATGCAGGATAGACTTCTGAAATGTCACACAAAGGTGGCAGGCTGACAGCAATTAGATGCCCTGGCATTTTTCCATGCCCAGCCTCATTCTTGCTGCTCTAAGAGCTGACCTCCTTCTTGGTGGGCAGCAATTGGGGAGCAGCTCTTCTCGCTCCCCCCTCTGCAGCACACTTTACTTTGACTCGTTCCAGGGTCCATCACGTTCATGTCTGCACCAGTCACTGATGTGGATGGTGAGGCTCCTGGCCACCACTTATATCTTGTCTGCATTGTTCTCAGGCTAGTTTCCAAGCAGGGTTTGGATTGTTTCCTCCTGGGAACATCGGCTAGTGGGGTAGGAATAGATAGCTGGACAAGCCTGGAGTTCTTTGCTACGGTAAAGGAGAACCATGCAGAGGAGGCTACTTACAACATGCCCTTTAGCCCTTCCATTTGAAGCCATTCCCATCCTTGTGGAATGAAAGCCAGGGCACTAGGGAGGGGAGTAAGGCAGCCTTCGGTCAACACAGACTGACACCAGATGGGTGGTGCTGATGGTGCGAATGCTGTCAGCAGGTTTGCACAGATACACTGTTTCAAGTTTTGTAGGGAAGCAGAAGACACACTCACAGGAGAGGTAT